TGCTTTTCAAACGAAATATTTGGTACAATCACATAATTTTATTAACACAGTTTTTCAACTTCTACATCTGATTCATAATAAGATGAGTATTTTGCTTGGACATGGCTGCTAAAACAATTCGAACGTCATTGGCAATGCATAAAGCAGGATAATTGAATTCAACCAATAAACTGGCAGGAGTTCGTACCTACTCAATTTTTTTAAAGAAACACCAGTATCAGGATAAGACTGCTATAAAAAGTCAAATCTGTCTCTTACAGAAGGTTTACACTCCCTTCATATCCCTTAAAAGTTAAGGGATGATAATATTAACCTTTTTCTTTTGAATTATCAATATGCATAAATTTTTTTTATTACATAGAACATTGCTGGTTCGTTAAAGAATAAATGTAGGAACCGTGGTGATGATTTTTTCGTTTTGTGATAGTAAAATCTTACGTTATCCATTTTATTAACAAAATTTTATCTTTTATTTCACTCGAGGTGATTAAATTTTTAGATTCTGTCTACATTCGTCTTAACCATTAGCTACCTGGCTTATTGATCGCGATCTATTTTCATGTTGACTCTCATTTATCTTTTCCTTTGTGTCCTCTATTTTTTTCAGTTCTGACAAGTCTGAACAGTGTATGACACTGCCATATGTTACCAAGTCCAGTTACTTCAACTTACCCTCCTCTAAGGTTATAGCTACTTCACGTCTCTATCCAAGTAAGGATCAGCAACGTCAACGCACTAACTCTCTCTACGCGTCACCCCTAGGATATCCTAGTTACTCTGATGGTACTGGTCACTACTATACACAGAGGCGCCTACAATCTGCCAAAAGGCTATCTGATGAGGAATATCAGAAAGCAATGGGCTCTATTGAGCCAGAGATGGACCGAAGATTGCCTTTCAGGGATGGAGATAGTGGCATTGCAAACCCAGCTCGTGACTCTTTTTCACATAAGTATGGTGAAACAAACTCTTCAGTCTATTTTGCAGACACTCCCACTAATTTTAGACACGTTTCGCCGACTGGTGGCACTCGTTCCACGTATACAGACAGTCCTAAACGGGCTTCACCTGCTCCTGAATACGCAATTCGCATACCATCTGCTTCAGGCTTCTATACTTCAGTATTGCCGCCCCATGCGTCATGTCGGACTGTCAAGTGGGAGGACTTAGATAGCTCCAGATTCTCTGCAGGCGAACAAAATGCTAACTTTGAAGATAGTCCTTGGTGTCACAGGCAGCCGGAGGCTAACACAGCCATTCAAAACGGCAACATTCAAAACTCTCTGTCCGGCCGCTTTTTGAATGTCAAGACTCCCGATGGCCCAAGATCTGGGGAGCTGAGGCCAACTACGAATACAGTCACCTATTCATCTTGTGAGCTGGTGCCTCCTTTGCCACAGGCTTTCTCTCTCCATCAATCTGACCTATCAACAAGGACGCCAACAGTTGGCTATCCTGCTCTGTCATCATCTTCGATTCCAGCCCCATTCGTAGCCAGTTTATCATCTCGGCTGCGCCGACCACCGTTACCCCGAGAGAATGGCCCACCGTTATGCGTGGGACCACGCAATACCGCAGGTCCCTTTGGTTTTCACTTTGAAGAACCTGGTTGGCGAAAAAACGAGGTTACGAGATTGCCTACTCTCACTGCTAACCATATAGCTGTATCATCGTTGCCACTGCCGGATTCAGCATCATCATCAATCGCAATCGCAAAAGAATCTGGAGGGGCTGGAAGCAGGGCACTGTATACTCGCAGTAAATTACCTCCGGAACTTGATGATGAGCCCTCTTGGCAAGCAGGCAGGCGTCTCAGGCGAACGAGACCTGATCAGCCTGTTCCTATTTCCGATTGCGAGTTTAGCGCTATTTCGGCCAGAGTTTTTGCCAACTGTAGCAATTCTTCTACAGAGCATCATCGATTAGAAAATAGCCATTCCGATTACGATAACTTGGGTACAAAGCATCAGGTAGGTGAAGATAAATTGGAATATATCTAATATTTTGTGCCATACAGTAATTGGATCGATCGAACTTTTATAATCGTATTAGACCTGCTGCTTTTAATCAATTGTATTCTCATATGATGCATCACAAATGGTTTTGTTTGGTGCGTATATATGATATTTTTCTAATAAATCGAATGGTAAAAAATATTCTAACGCATAAAATTATTCTAATTAGCTTGGAAAACCTAAACAATAAAAAATGTATGAAGACCAAGATGGTGTGGCCTTTTGTGTGGTCGCAGTCTCCTTTCGTTGTATAGAGGTTGTTGACCTTGTTTTCGAAACTGGTCATATTGGTAGAAAGACTTATTGGAACGCACCTAGTCCGGGGTCCATTGTCTGTATGATCATTGATGGTGTGGCCTTTTGTGTGGTCGCAGTCTCCTTTCGTTGTATAGAGGTTGTTTAACCTTGTTTTCGCATGGTCATATTGGTAGAAAGACTTATTGGAACGCACCTAGTCCGGGGTCCATTGTCTGTATGATCATTGATGGTGTGGCCTTTTGTGTGGTCGCAGTCTCCTTTCGTTGTATAGAGGTTGTTTAACCTTGTTTTCGCATTTGGAAGACTTAGAGGAACGTACCTAGTCCGGAGTCCATTATATGCATTATCATTTCCAGAGTAGGACCATGGACATAATACATTCCCAGACGTTTCGATGCCAGCGACCATGTTGCAAAAACAAGGTCAAACAACCTCAAGTAAAAAATTATTTGATGTAATTGCATTTCGAGTTCATCAGCAATTCTTGAATAATAACCCTAGGTCCCTCTAGGTCAT